ATCAGCTTATTTTCCGTGTTAAACTCATGAGACACATACTTCCCCTGACTAAGGTACAAAAGCGTCTTCTGCAACTAGTTGTAAGCTTCCTGTGGGCAGTACTTACTCCTGAACATCGCTGAAAATGTCTTATACGAACAATTCGCATTCACCAGCCTTCCAGCGATTCCTTTCCACCACGTGTGTGCATCACCCTCCTAGTAGTGCACGACTTTGTCCCTCTTATAACCCTCATGACATCGGATTGGCTCAAAGTTCCGTTCAAGCCTCATCCTTCACTCATTTGCCTCAATCAGTGTAGAACCTCTAGCAAAGAACTTGGTTCCCAACCGCACCATGTGATCCAAAACCTTGAGGTAACTCGGAACCCTCTCCACTTGGTCCCCTTCCTCCACAACCACATCCGCATTAACACCAATTGGTGGTACTACTTGTGGTGCTGCTGCAACCGCTGGAGCAGGAGCCACCGCAGGTAGTCTAGCTAGTACCTGTGCCAACATCCCTAGCACAGCCTCTAACCCCACCGGTGCTACATTCGCAGCAACCCTAGCTGCACCCGCAGCATTCCTTGCCACGATCTCAGCATCCGCAGCAATCCTTGCTGCATCCTCAACTGCCACTCTAGCCGCCTCATTTGCAACCGCAGCTGCCTGTCTCTCGGCTTCCTTGCCCTCTCAGAAACATCACCGTTTACTGAGTTCACAGATCCAGCAGCCTGGTTGTCCCCATTGTGTCTCACAGTTCTTCTGGTACCAACCATCTGCAAGAACAATCATGCCAGTTAGCCGAAGCTAACTCAAAACGTGTTTCACAACACAACACATAAAACCTTACCGCGAGACCTTGGCAGTGAAGAATGGATCGGACCCCCTTAAACCCCAAACAAGCAAACAACAGCAGTCACCAACATTCAGTCCTAGAAGCGTTAAAACGCTCTGATACCAACTTGTGGTAGCCTGACCCGACAAACTATATCGCAGCCGTGCCCCACTACACTATAACACATAATCGTTTATCAGTTCTAAACACACAACATGAAAATCACACAATCAAACATGCAAAACATCAAACCCTAGCAATCCAACGATCCTAGAAACCAACCACAGTCATGCACTCACCTTAAACAAGGCTGGAAACAGATTGGTCAGAAGAAATCCCGATGAAAAACGCACCAAATTGAAGATATCCGATCGCCCTAGGAATCTCTCGACTGTCCGTACGATCCGATCCCTTTCCCTTCGGCTATCTCTCGATCCGTTCACCTTTCTCCTAGCCAAACTTTGTTTACCTTTGGAAACCCCACAAAACAAGGCAATTAGCTCAAGGTTATCCAATGGAAACTCGATACTTAGGGAATTATTCAGTCGCTTACTGATTTATCTCGGCGATGGTCGGATCTGCTCGGCGAACCTTCAATCTCTCTCGGCTATCCTCGAGATAAACTGATTTTCTTAGGGTTTTCTCTCGACTAAACTCTTTGTCTTGCTTTATTATTCGTAAATAAACACAACACCCCGAGCTAAGTCTCAAAAACACCTTATATACTCGCAAAACCCTAGACAACTCGGATTTAACCGACGTTTCTCAGTTTCAGTAAGGTTTATCTCGAACCGCTTAGATTTTCTCTCGGCTATTGCCTATACCAACTGACCATCCACGCGATAAACCACAAAATAGCCGACCTACTCACTTGGCACATGTCCCAATTCCCTTCCCTCTTGGATAAACCGCCCTTATCCGAGTTATTTCCATTTTCCACCCGGATATTTCCTTTTCTCTCGGACCGCTTGTCCCACCTCGGCTAATCCTTACATTCTCTCAGAGGTTTTCCTTTTTCCCTCAGAGACAGTCCACTGTCACTCGGACTAACCTCACTCTCACTCGGATAAATCCCATTTTCTCACGGACTGGACCATTTTCTCTCGGATATGATCCATCCGGCTCGGATATCCCAGCCATCCATCCGTCTATTTCCTAGTCATCACCCGACCATAGTCTGAACCTCCCAGTTCCCAGCCAATATCTGTCCTTGGCTCGATCATTCCTCGGACAATGCCCTGTCCAGCTCGATCATTCCGAATTTTCTCGGATACGGATGCTACAGAGCCGATCGCTTAGCTCAGAAGTATATGGATTCAATAGTGAGACTGCATGGAGTTCCAGTCAGCATAGTATCAGATCGTGATCTGAAGTTCACATTGATGTTCTGGCAGGCTTTTCAGAAAGCATTAGGAACGAAGGTTCATCTGAGTACTGCCTATCACCCCCAAATGGATGGACAATCGGAAAGGATGATTCAGACCCTCGAGGATATGATTCAGGCGTGTGTTCTTGGCTGGGCAAGGAAGTGGGGCGAGTACGTGCCATTAGCTGAATGTGCCTACAACAACAGTTATCACTCGAGTATTGGTATGTCTCCATACGAGGCTCTATATGGTAGACTGTGTCGCACTCCCATCTGTTGGACTGAGGTGGGTGAGCGACGGGACCTAGAGACGAGCATGGTCAAGGAGACGGTCACGCAAGTGAAATTGCTTAAGGACAGACTTAAGGAATCCCACGACCATCAGAAGAGTTATGCTGATACGCGTAGGAAAGATTTAGAGTTCTCAGTTGGAGATGAGGTCTACCTTAAAATGAGAACCTTCAGGGGTGTGAAAGAGATTATGAAGCTGAAAACGCTTAAGCCGAGGTACATGGGACCATATAGGGTCATTGAGAGAGTTGGCAATGTGGCATATCGATTGGACTTGCCACAAGAGTTGTCTGACTTCCATAATGTGTTCCATGTATCTGTGTTAAAAAAGGTAGTTAGAGAGTCTGAGCTGATACTACCTAATCCGCTTGTGGATGTGAGTGGAAACCTCCGGGTGTGAAGCACGCCTATCTCGATAAAGGAATATCAGACAAGGGACATTCAGGGGAAGGAAACTCGGATGGTCTTGGTGTGTTGGGAAAGAGATGGAATTAGTGAGGAGACCTGGGAAGAGGAAAATGACATGAGAAAATGGTATCCTAAACTTTTTGAGGGTGCAAGGGGATCGCAGGGTAGTTGCAAGAATTCGAGGGCGAATTCCTCTAAAGAGGGAGAGAATTGTAACGTCCTGGATCTAAATCCAACAGGAAAAGGAAAGGCCCATACGTCTAAAGCCCAAGAGGAAAAGGTATTAGGGTATTCCCAGAGTCCTCTCTATATAAATAGAGCTAGAGAGTCAGGATTTCCATCACAACTCCTAAAGCACTCAGAGATAGAACTTAGGAACCCTAACCGAGCAAGCCGCCGCCGCCGTTCGTCTTCGCCGCCATCCGCCGCCACCGTTCATCAGTTCCGAGCCACCATTTTCTTGAGTCCTTCGCCTTCCGTCGTTAGATCCCTTAAACCATATATCCCTTTTTAGCCTTCAATCGATTAGGCAAAGGTGAGGATGTGTTCATGCCTTCCCTTCAATATCATTAGCTAGCTTGTTTCTGTTATATCTAGATCTCAAGTCCTCTAAAACCTTACAAGTTTCGCTCGAGGTCGTAACTTGTAGATCTGTGCTGTTTGCTAGGTTATTATTTACTTTCAGAACCTAGATCTAGATGTGGATTATAACTGTTGATTGTTGATTTATGTTGAATATTGCTTGTAGAATTATGAATCTACATTGCATTGCATATAGTGTGTGATAGCACAAACTGTATTAGGACCCAGCAGTGAGAAGGCACTGCTGGCGTGATTGACGCCTGCGACATAGAATGTGCCTGTCGTAGTGCCATGTGGTGCTCAGGTTGACGAACCAGTCGTACAGCGACTTAGACTCTTGCGGAGATGAGTCCCCTAGCAAGGGTGTAAGACATATGAAACTTGCGGAGGTTAATCCGTGGGATACTGTAACGAGATACTGTATGCTCGCTTTGTTTTTTGCATATTTGTTTGTTGATTGTTAGAGGAATAGTTAAACTGCGCTTGTTCGTTTGGCTCTGGCTAGTGACAGGTTTGGGTAATGATATATGTGGTGGACCACATGTATATATTCTCCTGTGTAATCTAAATTACTCATCCCCTTCTATCCTTTTTCCCCTTTACGCAGGTGAGCAGGAACAGCAGGAGGGATTGGCATGTGATGGTGGCGAGCTGGTTTTCTAGTTCGATCCTTGGAATCCTTAAGACACTTAGCTTTCTATTTTATATGTTTTCAGTTGGTTTTGAAACTTGGTTTATGGTTTATTTTGAGTTTAAGTTGGTTATTTACTAGACTATTTGAATTATATCTATATAATAAGTATTAAATTGAAATTAAAATTATTGTAATTTAATTGGAAATTTGAGTGTTTAACACATCATCTCAATTATCAAGAGACGTGTTACAGCACCGCACTCTTAAATCAGCGTCTTCCACCTTAGGTACGGTCTCTTATCCGATCTCCGACTATGTTATGTGTGATCGTTTTTCAGACAAACACAAAGCATTTCTAACTGCTGATACTTCAAATTTATACCAAATTCTTATTCTGAAGCCATGAAACATAAAATGTAGTGTGATGCTCAAATTATCTACTACGATATGGCTATGCTTGCTTACTTGTTTAGAACAATCATTATTATGAATATCATCATCATCTTTCTATAATTGATTACCCACACAAACCCTGTTTATTGTTTCTTGATGTGACAGAAACTTGGCTTTGCATCCTGTAAACGAATGCTGAAGCAACTGAAGGAGGAGAAGAATCTCGATGGGAAGTGGGAATATGGTATATCAAAATTTTAATGTATGTGGAACTGTTGGATACAGAATCACGAAAGCAATAAGATTTAGCTCTTTTGTTAACCAGTCTCACACTCATAATTTCCCAGAAATTCAAGATTGTTGTACATGACAAACTAGTGGCTGGTTTATCAAGAATTTAACTAAAAGTCTAAAACTGTAGATTTACTGTAAACCAATGCAAGTCTAATACAAAGTCAGGAAAGAACATGATATTTTCAAGTTTTACTTCAGTTCGTGACTAGTCATATCCCGGAGACGGTGGTTCATGGAGGCAGAGAAGCCAGGATACTAGCTTTCGTAGCCATGATATAGCCAGAATTCGAAATACACAGAAATACAAAATATAGGTTCCAATAAAAGTTTCCTGTCTTTATATTTCTATCTACCATAGTCAACAACCAAATAGAGAAAGGTAAACAGCTAAAATCCTGAAATCAATTACAAAAAGCCAAAGGTAGAAACACACTTGCTTAAGCGGACTCTACGCTTATTGCCACGTTTCTCGAAGCTTTGCCTTCAAGTACGTTAAACTGAGTGGCAATTTCTTTGAGAGCAGTAACTCCTCCATCTCCTGTCTCCCATACAGCACCACTTGTTGGAGATTAGGCATTGTCAGCAAAAAGTGTCTCACTTGGCCAGCAAATCTTTCTCTGTCCTTGATAACATCTCCCCTTTCGTAAATCGTCAGCACTTTCACTGGCGATGTTAGCAGGTACAAGGAAGTCTCTATGATACTGCATAGGCACACATCACCACATCCATCTCCAGTCATGTGGAAGAGTCCCTAAAACATAAAATAAAATAAAAAATTGACATATTTTGTTTTGCATATTTTGTTTTCAATAATAAACTCTTCTTACCTGGATGATGAGTTCTTCTAAACTTGGACAGTTTCTGAGAAGTTTTGGAACAGATCCCCAGCCCATGGTCTCAAAACTCTTGATCTGCAGCTGAGTCAAGTTCATGAATTGAGGTATTGATCCACGCTTTAAGTCAAGAACCTGAAACAAAACACAATCAAATCAAATCAATACAAGACAGTTACAAATCAACAGAAGATTTAAGAATGGCTGTGTTCGTCTCACTAGCAAGACATTTACGAACCTCTATCGTGTTCTCAGACACCTGAAGTTTTCGAACTCCACTTATTCCAATCACAAAAGTTGTGGCATCACCGACAATCTCTTCTTCTTCTTCTTCTTCTTCTTCTTCTTCTTCATCACTACTCTTTCCTTCCTGGTTTTCATCTTTGGTTCGAAGATCGATCTTGCCTTCAATAAGTGAATCACAATTCACTATTGGATACTTTTTAGCAACATAATCCGTATACTCCAGGTATAGCAGATTCGGAGTGTCAAACAACACACTCTTTGGATTTACCAGGTTTTCTATTTCATCCATTTCTGTGAAATCATCCCATATAATCTTCAGCATCTTTAGACTCTTGCTCCTCACAACACAAGCTTCCCATGTTTGCCACTTCATGTCTTCTATCACACTGGGATTACCCTTCTTGTTGGAACTCATAGCAACAACAACTGAAAATTGACAATTCATGCTTAGAGATGGCAGAGAGAGAATCAATTTAGGTTCTATAACAATCTAAAATCTACAAAGTAGCAAATATCAGTCGCATTAAGTTCTCAAATCAAGAAAACAAGCACTAGACAAAACCCAGAAATTTCCCATAGAGAAGTCATTGTAAAGTCGGCTCCTTTTTGTGTTCCAATTAGTGAAAAATGGCTCCTTTAACGAAAAAACGACCCTTGATTTGAAACATCACTGAAAAAAAAACTTAGTTTCACATAAAACAAAAAAGCTCTTTTGACCAAAAATTTGAAATCGTGAAGAAAACGGAAACTCATGTAACACACACAAAAAAAAGCACCGAAAAAGAGAGAGATACAGAGAGATAACCCAGAACCGATGGTGGAGGAGCGAGAATTTCGGGAGCGAAACTGATAAAATGGTGTAGCGAAAATTAAATCGCTCTTTCGCAGAGTGGCATCACAGGGCTCTCTCCAATTTTCGTATTTATATTTTTTAATGATTTCCGTTAATGCTTATCAAGCTTGTTCGGATGTTCGAATCCAATACCAACAAAACCGGTCAACAAAATCTAAATTAAAACCGGTTTATCAGAATCCCAAGTTAGACCGGTTTATAGTCATTTGGCAATTTTTTACTTGTAGACAAATTTTAACTAGGAGAACAAATACAGTAGTTCTTCGTTTTTTTTTTTTTGTCGACAGCCTCATGAAATCTAGAATGTTGTTATCCATTCCGGAGGAGATGAGTGAATATAATATAGATGATACATGTAGTCTCGAGCACTTTGTGCTAGCTTGTCTGCCTTCGTGTTCTGCGCACGAAGAATCATGGAGATAGAGAAAAGAATGAACTCTCTTCTAGTTGCTTCATATTCCTCCAAATGTAGTGTGAATGCTGGCCATTGTTCTGGATTGGACACCATCTCCAATAAATCTGAGTTATCAGTAAGAAATGTCACTGCATATCTCCTAGCATCAAGCATGCAGTGCATTGCCCAAATCAGTGCCTCTAACTCTATGTGTAGAGGTGTTAAACTCCTGTCTAGTTTACGGGCCCCCATTAACGTACTCATAGTATCCACACCTTCACTGTACCATCCTAATCATGAGCTTGTAGCATCCTATTTCCACGATCCATCCGTATAACACATGGTCCCATTCCTAATCTGGTTAGTATATTGTAGACTTTGTGAAGCGGGTACTCCTATGGTTTCCGTCTGTGCCTCAGCCCAGGCATATGCTTCTGCCATTGCAATCTTGACAACTTTTCTTGTGTCCCGTTTTATATTTTTGAAAATTTTATCATTTCTCATTTTCCAGATGTACCACAATATCCAAGGGTATGCCTTTGTATCCTCATGACTTGGGAGATTCCAGAATAAGTATGCCTTCTGTTGGAAATCGGTGTATAGGCGTAGGTATTGGCGAGAGCGCCCATACTTGCAATGCCGGTGGGCATTCAAATAATGTATGGTTTATGGTTTCCTTGTCTGCGCCACATCGACTACATTGAGGAACACAATTAATTATCCTATCGTGGAGGCGTGCCGTTACCACCAAGCAGCCAGAAATTGCGTGCCACATGAAGTGTTTCAGTTTTGGCGGACATTTAACTGTCCAAACCTTTGCATGTAAGTGACTAATGTCTGGACCATACCATCCTAAAGATTCCTTATCCGGGTAAAGTTGTGCTGCCAAATATCCTGATTTGACAGTGTATCTTCCTGTTTTTGTGAAATGCCATCCCCATTTATCATGTCAATTTTCCGCTGTCGTTGCCAGGGCAGTAATCAAAGGGACGTCTTCCGGATCTACCAATTGTTGAAGTAGTGGTATATTTCACGTTGATGTTACAAGATCAATCAATTGATTGACAATTAGCTCTGGGTAATAATTAAACCCTTTGCATAGTGCTGATCTCGGGCGTGAGGATGGAATCCATGGGTCATTCCATACTGAGATAGTATGACCTGATCCAACTCTTTTGATAAGCCTTTTTGTACCAGAGATCTAGCGGATGTGATGCTCTTCCATCAAAACGATGGAGAATACGATCGTATCGGATCTAATGGGGAACAGTTCCTGAAATATCTTCCTTTTAACACCTTTGCAAAGAGCGAATCCGGAAATTCTATAAGTCGCCATAATTGTTTCGCCAGGAGAGCAGTATTAAAATCCTCTACCACTCGGAATCCAATGCCACCTTCAGATTTTGGTTTGCACAACTTGTTCCAGGCCATCTAGTGCATTCCTCGTGTCTGTCCGTTTTTACTCCACCAGAATTTAGCTACCGTGCTCGTTAATTTAGTAGTGATGGTCTTGGGTAACCTAAAGCAAGTCATGGTATATGTCGGGACTGCTGTGAGCACTGATTTAATTAGGACTTCTTTCCCTCTCCTGGATAACATCTTGGATGTCCAACCATTTACCCGTTTTTGCTGTCTTTCTAGAATAAAACTGAAAACCTTTGTTTTTGCTCTTCCTAGGCTCTCAGGTATCCCCAAATATGTACTCATCCCCTCAGTATTGGCAATACCTAATGCGTTTTGTAGCGCTTCCCTTTTCATCTGTGATACCTTGTGTCCAAACTGCACCGACGATTTCGAGAAATTTATTTTTTGACCCGAGACTAATTAATATTGCTTCAAGAGATGCAGGAGTACATTCGCCTCCTATGTTGTCGCCTTACAGAAAAATATACTGTCATCAGCAAAGAACAAATGCGATACCGCCGGACTTGCTCGAGCCACCTTCATCCCAGTTATTAGCTTATCCTTTTCCGCTTTTTTCAAATTAGCAATTAAAACTTCTGTACAGAGAATGAACAGATAAGGTGATAATGGATCCCCTTGTCTAAGACTCCTTTTTGGTTGAATATTGCCTCTTGGAGTCCCATTTATTAGAACTTTGTATTGGACTGATTATATGCACCACATTATCCACGAGATCCATTTCTCTGCGAATCCCAGTTTCCTGAATAAGTGTCTAATGAATGACCATTCCACCCGGTCGTAGGTTTTGCTCATATCTGTTTTGACGGCCATGTAATCCTCCTTAGATGAGTTGTTGGTCCGTAAAGCATGAAACATTTCCTGCGCTATTAAAATATTATCCGAGATAAGCCTCCCTGACACGAAGGCCGATTGTGTCTCGGATACCAACCTTGGTAAAAATATCCGTAGTCGTTGACAAAGAACTTTGGATATTATTTTATATCCTACATTACAAATACTTATGGGTCGTAAGTCTGTCATCCGAGTTGGCCGCTCTGTCTTTGGAATAAGACAGATATTCGTCAGATTTAAACATTTGTCAAAAGTCCCTGACTCAAAAAATTGATTCATTTGATGCACGACATCGTCCTTAATAATATCCCAGGATTTCTGAAAGAATAATGCTGTCATGCCATCCAGGCCCGGAGCCTTTGTGGGGTGCATCATAAAAAGTGCTATTTTTACCTCTGTCTCCGTTGCCGGTTTCAAGAGCTCCTCATTCTCTTGGTCCGTTATTTCCGAGTCTATTTCGCCTAAAATATTCTCGAATTCTGTTGGTAAGGTGGACGTAAATAATTCTGCGAAGTAATCCACTGCAACTTTCTCCACTTTCTTCTCACTAGTTACCCAAGCATCCTGACTATCATGTAACCCAACAATTCTGTTTATAGTCCTTCGTTGTTTTGTAATAGCATAGTAGAATTTTGTATTAAGATCCCCACATTTGTTCCATAAATTTCGACTCTTCTGTTGCCAAAATTCTTCCTCATACCGATATGCTTCCTTAAGCTTTTGAGTAATCTCATTAAGCTCATCCTGAGTACGTGTATCATCTGTCTGGATTTCCTCAAGTTTTCGTTCGAGTTCTTCAATTTTGTCCCTACCATATGGTCTGTTAACTTGACGCCATTTGGAAAGTTCATGCCTACATGTAAGAATTCTATCCACCAAAGATTGAGATGTGTGATAGTTGTGCTCATGTCAGCCTCGTGTTATGGCATCCATTAATCCTTCCTGACCAATCCATCTTTTATCAAACCGGAATTGGTTTTTCCGTTTGATATTTTTTGATTCAGTTGTTGCTACTATAGACCGGTGGTCAGAGCCTATCATTTTAAGATATTCCACATATGAAAATGGATATAAATCATGCCATTCCTCAGTTGCAAGATTTTTATCCAAACGACACCGAACGTTTTGTCCATTCCGTCTACCCTTCCAAGAAAGAGTATTTCCACGATTTGGGAAATCAATTAATCCACAATTGCTAATTATCGTATTAAAACCAACAAATGAGGATGCTTGCCTAATTAACCCTCCCTGTTTCTCATGATTTCTTGTTATTTCATTAAAATCACCAATTAAAAACCACAGTCCATTTCTTGTTAGACTTGTCCTTGTAATCCGTTCGCAGACTTGTTCTCTTAATTTTTGAACCGGATCACCATATACAAATGACATATAAATTAATTTTTCGCCAATACAAGCCTCTATATCAATAATCTTTTTATTTGAAAATAAAACTTTTACATCAAAGTCTTTATTAAAGAATAAAGCCAGTCCACCGCTGGCACCACACGGATCCACCGTAAACAACAAATCATAACCAAAATGTAATTGAAATTGCTCAATAAAATTAAAAGAAAATCCGGTCTGAACTTTCTCCAAATCTCCCTAAGATAGCTTATTGTGTACCTGTTCCCCAGACTCTGACAATTCCAGCTTAAGACCCGCATTAATCTTCATAGTTTCCGCCCTGCCCCTCCAACGAAGCCTCGCTTTTCCTTGGTTGCACCATCCCTTTTTCTCCTCCACATTTGGAATCCTTTGAAATCCCCTTCTTCTTTGGCGTGGTGCTATGCATTATCTTTCGTGAGCCACCATCCACAACAAAGGATGATTTGAACAGCCTCTTCTTGGCACCAACTTTTACTGGAACCCTCATCATCTCAGTTTGCTCATTGTCCGTTTGTCCTAGTCCGTGATGTGCAACCCTGTCATCAAGAACAATCTC